GTATTCACCGGGAGCACCTACAAAATTATAATTTTGAAAGCATGCCCCGTGCTATCTCACAATGCTTAACAAGCAATACATGAAGACGCGTAACGCAACGAGTTACGCGTGACAGAACAATAACGTATCAAAGATGTTATGAATCATTTCAAAGATCCTGAACTTAAAAGAAGAATCATGGAAGTTTCCTCAAAAATTGCATCAGTTGAACATCGTATTTAAATTTTTACCATTTTGAAGGGGGAAGGATGTCAATTAGAATGTGAGAAGTAGATGCAGGACCTACAGTTTTGAGTGTTTGGCAAAACTGGGCCTGTTTATAAATAAACCCATAATAATAAGCTTTAGGAGGTAAGACTTGGTGTTTTCTGCATAGAAAGCAGTGCTCATTCTATTAAAGTAACCATACAGTAGGTGGCAGTAGGCGACTAAGAGTTGTTGAAAAGGCTGTGAAGGGTGTTAGCTGCGAAAAATGTAATCAGATCTGATATCAACCCGGGATGATGATAATCGAAAACGAAAGTTCAACAAAAATTGAATCCAATAGCAAACAGCTACGGAAACATAAGACGCTCTGAGACAAAATTAATACAAACTTTACCAAGGTTTTTAAGCCTACATAATGTTATTTTACTTTTAAAGCTACTTCACATCGAACATTTTAAACCTAAGCGTAATCAATTCCTTCCTAAACAAACACTAGGTTCGCAATTTAACGCGCGCTCGAAAGAATGGTTGAAATTTCAAAGAACGGTACCTGTGTACGTAGTAATAAACTGTATTTCAATTCACTTTGTTAGAAAGTACAACCTGAAAAAAGGAAAGAAACACAAACCTGCTTGCCTTTATCACGAAAAGAAGAAACAAGTCAGCGTTTCACGGCGACAAATCTGAGAAAGAAGGTACATGCGTAGTTGGCTTTACATTTAGAAGTAATAGGGACGTTCCCATGACGTCATTCTCTGGTGTCTCAACTGTGGGCTCATTTGGTCACGCGAAGTTTTTGATGGCCGAAACAGGTGGTCACGCGTTCTTCGATTGCTTGAAGTTACTTTGACAGAGGTTTCAATCGATAACTTAGGTGGATTTACTCGTATTTTGAATAAACGTCTCAATTTTAGGGGGGCCTAAAGGTCAATGACCAATTTATCGAATACTGACTGTAGTACTTGCGGAAAAGATTCAAAAGAACACAATAATTTATTCATGAGACTGTTCATTTTTAGCAGTCCAAGGCGAATGAACGAGGTAGAAATAGCTCAAAAGCTGAAAAGATATTTAAGTGCTGCGACTGGAAGAAAAAACCGGTTGCTGTTGACACTCTTTGAAAGCACTCCAATCTGTTAGAAAGATGTTAAAAAAATAAAGAAACAAAAGAAGAAACAAAAGAAGGGCCTCTATCCTCGTTGTATTCTGGGTCTCTTCCCTGTTTATCATGAATATCAAATCAAATCAACTTGTGAAACTGATCAGTTACCCAAATGAAAAATAACTGCACCCATTTTTATACTTTATTGATCTTTGGTATTTTTGTCAGGACTAGGAATTATTCGTTCGACCCATTTCCTTAAGTAAAACATTTCGTCTGATATAATTTCATGTCCTTGCATTGCGAAATTCACATGGAAATCTGTTTTTATTTTCAAGTCCATATAACTCTCCGCAGGGTGTGCAGCCCATCTCAACCAGTTTTTGTCTTTCCTTCCATTCCACATAAACAATGCGGGGAACTTCTTGTCCTTGTTGAGCTCTCTGTCTTTTCGTATTGTCTCAAACACAGTCGACCGCGTCGAGAAGATGGAAGAATGAGCAAAAACACCGACAATGTCCGTTAGATACCTGATGGACAGGAGAAAAAGGAAAGTCTTAAAGTGTCACGTGGGTTTTCTTTGTCACGCGATATTCAAATTTTAGTTAAGGTTGTGGTTCTATGCGTGACATGTATCAATATATGAACGTATTGCCAATGGGTTAGCTCATCTTGGAGTCTCTGTAGCTCAGTTAGACCACCGGAGCGCAGGAGCCGAAGGTCTGAGGTTGGATTCCGCTATGGGGAATCAGAATTTTTTTTCTTTTTTTTCCATGCGCGTAACATGACCAAAAAAAAAAAAGACAGCAGCTTTCTTTAATGACGGTTCTATCACCTCACGACATGTCACGCTAGCACACAACATGTTAATTTACTTACCTTTAGTTCATTTTATCTTCGCTAAAAATACGAGTGCAAGTTATTCATGATATAAGAATGGCAGGATTAGTGTATTTTGTGTCTTTTGGGGCATTAGGTTTATATAATCGACCATTTGATTACCAAAATAGCGTATAAAATTTTATCTCGTAAGACATGCATTACCTGAACCCAACATGCATGGCAAGATTCCCTCCCATACCAAATCCACCGATGACGATCCTATCGATTGGAATTCCACGAGCTTTCTCTTGATCAATTAAGTGGCAAATCAAACTGCAGGAATGATCAATGGAGTCCATCCTCTCCATAGCAGTGGGACTTGAAGTGTTCCGCTCATACCAAAGCCCTGGTTTAAGTCCGCCATGAGCGACTTGGTAAATAATGTCTGGGGCTTGCGGATAAATTACTCGAATATGGTCAAACTCAAACTCTTTGTTAAAAATACCTTTTAGAAGACTTCTAGAACTCTCTGCTGTGTCTCCTTGATCATGGAGGAAAAATAAAGACCCAATTTGTTGAAATTTTTCGAGGGAAGTCACGCACCTTAACTTCTCAACCGCCATGATGCTTCATGACGCTTAATTTTTAGCCAGGCGTTCGTAATGAGTGGTTACAAAGCATAATTCAAAATGGCGGCTCAGCGAGCTCAACTTGCGAGAATAGTCTTAGGGAGTTTTACCTCAAGGAATTACCCTTTATCGGTCAGGGATAGCGCGAAAATAACAAGTAAGAACACTTTGTATCTTAAAAGGGATAGAAATGTCTGGTGCATTTTGTCTCGCGAATACACCGTTAAGATTTTGAATCTAAATATTACAATTTAAAGAAGATATTTCTCTCTTAGATTTTATCACCAGCAAGAAGTTCTGCTCAGTTCAACCAAAACCAAGGATTCCAAGGATATTTAGTGCAGTTTGTGTTCAACGTTTGCCTCAGATCACCAAAGAGAAGTCAGAACTGGAAAAACGGTATGAAGAACTTCAAGATCAACTGGAGCTTGAACACAGTGCACTGTCAGAAGATGAAGTAGAGTGGGAAGGAATTCTAGAACGGAAGAGGAAGCTGAAGGATGATGACGATGATGAAATTATGGCAATAGGAATGATGGNNNCGAAACAGACCAATCACGACCGACTTACGTCACTTGAGTCTTACAGCCAATAACATCACGGCAAAACCAACCGATCATTTCACACGAACTGGAATAAGAACATTCTACTGACAACAATCATTCACTTGACTCTGATGATGACTTCCGCACAGGTTGTCGAAACGTCAGTCACTGCCACCGACAACAGTCCTTCTCAGGACTACACTCACCCGGACGATCAGACTACACCTTCACATCTTAGAGTCAAGTCAGCTTGAGCTACAGCTACTCCAAAGCAGTGAACAGCGGGTGCATTCCTCAAAACGGTTTTATGTCTTCATCACAATACAAGAATTTTTGAGATTTGTATTCCTTTCTCCAATGGAAACTGTCTATTTGTGGCGGTAAATTTGAGACCGAAGTAGGGGGTTCGCACGTTACCTCATGCCACCATGCTGGTGGAAGTAAACAATAGATATCTCATTATCTCCTTTTGTTCGTCTACCAGCATTTAAATTTGACCCGCACGCGCCAACAGTGAGTGACAAATGAGCCTAGGTCTTGCCAGAGAAGATTTTCTTATATAGCATGCCTTTGTGTTTAAGGTTTTCAGACACGTATCTATTTATTCATGAAATCATCACGCATTGTGTGACAGTGTTAAGTTATGCATGGAGCTGTTGAGAGTTTGAACGAATTATAAGGAAGAGTATGGGGAATGAAATATGTTCGATTTCTAATGCTTATGATAAAGCAAACCCAAAACTGCAGAGATCGCCAGAAATCACAAAGGACATATAAGGATAGATCTAGTCAGAGTAAGTTTGGAAAGATTTCCATATAACCCCATACCAATCAAAAACAAAGCCCTTGTCCCAAAGAAAATCTGTTGTTTTGCCTCTGCTTAATCCTTTATCCAAGAATTGAATGCATTATTATAAGCATGGGGTTAATTATGGAATTCTTGCCATAAGTTTTATTAATCTTACGCGTAAAATGTTCATGATTGCCGAATTTTAAACATTATAAATCGACCCTAGTCTTCCTTCTAATGCACTCAAATTCTCAATGGTTCCTCATACAACGTACCAGTAACATTGCTCACATAATGCTCAATGCTCTCATGAATTAATCTTTCACTTTTCTTGAGACATGAGCTAGAGACACCTGTGAACCAAGAAGTCATATTGTACATGAAGATAGAAAGGATATTAGATCAGATACATCTCTTATTTCTGGAGAAGGGATAGAGGTGGGGGAATTGGTGAGTTTAGACCTCAAATAAAAGTGACAAGGATGCAACTTAAATCTCTCTGAGAGGTTCAAACTTTAAAATGACCTGAAAAAAATGTCTTGTTGTTTTGTTACTCTTGATACTCTCTGGAACCTAACTGCCCCTTGGGATATGAATTAAACTGGTGGCTTGTTAGGAGCTTTATCCAGAGGGAAAGGGTATTAGAAAAGTTGGTCATCTGGCAATAAAATTTAGAGAACTGGGTCAGGTTGTTCAAAGCATGATTAAGCTAATCAGAGGTTAGCCAAGAATTTGTTATTTAGTTTTGTAGCTTTACAAATAGTTTTGATTGTTTACATTTTTTCTCAATCTCTCATCTCACATTAAGGTAAAACCCCTCAAAATGTAGGCCCTACTATAATGTGCACTTTATTTGGGGAAAAATTAAGGACAAGTTAAAAATTCAATCCTGGGTTATTGTCAACCACTTTTGTATAACTGCAACCAGAACAGGATTTTTGTTTTTGAAATCCTGTAAAGAATGTCCATAACCAAAGGTTGAACTTCAGCCCTCAATTAGAGAGGTTAACTAGATGGAGTGCTATGAGGAAATTTAATTAAGTCATCATGATAACTCAACAGCAATTTGAGGAGGAGCAAGAAGAGGAATTGAGAATGTATCAGCCAGGAAGCCGACAGACAGAAGCAGACAAAATAACCGACCTTAAATCATTACACCGCAAACTGCAAGATAACTTAATCCTGTTAGTAAGACATCAAAAGGATTCAGTAACATGGGAGCTGCCTTGTGGTGAAGTTACAAACACCAGCGACACTCTTCAACAGGTTTTGCTGACACTATTGTCTTTTTAAGTGCAGGGCATCTGAAACGGTAATGAAAAATTTGAAAGGAAAATTCATTATTTGAGGAGGGAATTCCACACTAAATTGTAAATGAAAACTGATATCAGTTTTCAAGTTGGATTTTTCTTGAATCACATAATTGAATAGATATGAGATAAAAAAGAAAGCACAGTTGTTAGGCATATGTAGACTTGAAACAATATCACTAAGCCTCGTTTTCAACTTGCAACCCCAAACTAAATACCTCACTTTGTAAACCAATCAGAATGCAGAGTTTTTTTCAATTATGAGATTCTAAAGGATATTGGTTATCACTGGAATGGTCACATGCACAGCCTTCTCCCCAGGTTTTGAAAGGCTGCATCACTTTCATGGCAAAATAAACTAAACTTAGAGTACTAAACAAAAAAGTTACAACATGTGGGTTGAGTTTGTCGTCGGTTCTCATCTTTGCTCTGAGGGTTTTTCTCCAGGTCCTCCAGTTTTCCTCCCTTGGCAAAAATCAACTTTCCAAATTCTAATTCAATCTGGAAAGAATACGCAAGAAGAGCCACCCAGTGGAATGTCTATTGCTAAATTATTAATTATTATTACTATCGTAACTATTTATTTTATTATTATTATAATTATTATTCAAATGGTTTCATCGTGGGGTTCATCTGCAAACCAAAAATGTGTAGTTATCTTTCACAACACACAGTTAATAGAGTTTTGTCCAACTCCTATTAACAATAACTAAATGGAACTGTGTTTTTTAATTTCTTTTTAGGTAGCATCAGAAAGTTTAAGTGAAACTTGTGGCACTGATCTGAAAGTTCAGTTTCTTAGCAACGCACCAATTGCTGTGATGAAAAAATACAAGAACAAAAATGACAAGGTAAGGTCAAAAGTATTCAAAAGAAAGATAATAATTATTATAAGAGCTGAAGTAGTACCAAGTCAAAGGCAAGGCTATGGTACCTCATAGATATAAGTTTTTTTGTGATAGAGAAATGTTTGGTATGGTTTCAAAAGAATGAAACCAGCTCCCTTTTTTCCTCTTTTTGAAACAAAGTCAAAACCTTTCTCAAAAGATTTAGAGTTTTTTTTTTCCTTTTGGGCTCAGACATTTACAGAGGAACACTTCAACATTTTCCAAAAATTGTTGTCTTACTTTGCAAAGGGCCTTGTCTTCAAAATCTTCACTTTGTTTTGTAGGTGTTTTTCTACAAAGTGAACTATGTGACAGGTTGTGTCAGACTACAGGAAGGCTACTTTGATCACATCTGGGTGACAAGGAAAGAAATGAAAGACTTTGTTGATGCAGATTATTTTAAGACAATTAAACGGTTTATATTTTAAATGTTAATGTAAAAACAAGCCAAGGATCAGTTTTATTAAATAAATTGTCTCTTCATCATCATAATTATTACCTTCAGTGGTTATCTTTTATGTAAGGTTAAGTCTTTACTCTGAGAGTGAAGTGTTTACCCACGACCACAAAACAATGACCCAGCCAGGTCTTGAACACAGACCTTTCAACCTGGATTTCAGTGCATTGACCATTAGGCCACTGCGTCTTTCATCTCTGAGTTTACTTCATAGCTATTTGAAAGGTGGAGGAATAAGGGAAGATAGCTTGGGGGTAAACTCATTACATAACTGTTTATTCACAAAAACACTGCAAATTGACGGAGACTACGTAAGTTCCACCACAATTTTTTAGGATCAAAGGATGAATACCATCTAGGCCAGGGGATTTGTGGGAGTTGAGTTCATTCAGAATCTTGTTGATGCCCCTGGGCAAGCAATGCAGAAGACTGAGATCTGTGTCTTGATAATGTGGTCAAATAATGGGAAATTCTTTAAGTTCTCCAATGTAAAACCTGATGCAAAGTATTTATTTGCCTTTGATGACAAGATTTTTCAGGAGATTTTGAATTGATCAGCCTCTGTTCCCGTAACCTCCCTTTGCAAATGGAAACTTGAAGATCAATGTGTGATAACTGGATTTGACTGGCACATACTTGGATTCCACAAGTAAATGTGTCTATAAAAACCCTTGCTAGCTTTCTTACAATGCCCCACCCCCATCCACCCATAGAAACTGCAGTAATCACTTCACCAACAGTTGTGCATCAGGATTGATTAACTTGTAAATAAAGGCAAACATTGAAAAAATTGTGAAGAAAATAATACATTTATTACAAAGTCTTCAAAATGTTGCTGGAGGTTATGTTATTCATGGCACGTTGTCTCATGCAGCAGTAGACCCAGTACTCCTCCTCTTTGTGTGGCAGCGTATCTGAGAGACCGTTCTTGTTCATATACCTCTTCAAGTTTTAGCCACTAAAATGGAAGAAAAATAATTCAGACAAGAAGACTACAAGCCTTTCAACAACACAATTACTTGAGTAGTAGTTGAGAAGGGTATAGAAAGACATAAAAAAAATAATAAAAACCCAAAATCATACGTCTCAATGTAGTCACATGGGATTCATATTTGAAGTGACCACATCGTAAGAGGAACATTTATGGTTCATTTTTGACAGTGTATTCACTATGATATCAAAATGATGACAAAACACGACTATTTTACGATAAAAGTAATTATACAGTTTTGACAAGAGAAAGTAGAACATCGCATTACTTTACATTACATAATGTCACTTCACATCACACAGGAAACAACCAACCTGCTGTATTCGTTGCAAATCAATTTCTGCCCTTCGTAACTTCTCCCAGCAGTAATGTTTCATACATCTTCTCTTTGAAGCGCGACAGAAATCTCCTGTTTCTTCAAAGACGTTGCTTACCAGAGGGCAGCCACAAACATCAGTGGCAGAGATCTTGAAAAAAAAAAAAAAGGGATAAAGTCTGTTTATAATGATGCCATCAAGGTTGATCCTCTAAATGAAAACCTGCCCTGAGACTTTTGTTCAATTGAAAAAAAAATAGATTTCAAGTGTCCATACATCTGTTTAGTTATGGATCACAGGTAAGGTCAAAATCTGGTAACGACAAAAAGGTGGCACACAAGGTGAAGTTGAATGGGTTCCTGATGTTCTTAGCACCTTTTGAGGTCTTCCGTCATCTATTACTGTACAGACCTATGGCAACATGGAATCCTTTTGTTTTATATAACAAAAAAGCTAAAAATTGTAAATGGTGATGTCATCTTTGCATCTGTCCCTCAATAGTTCATTAGTAAAAACCAACCAAATGCACACATAATTCAGCTTTTTCTATATTTTTCATAATTTTTGTTCATCTTCAAAAAACTTGAATTTTGAAATTAGGTTTTGGGGTTTCCAAAGTTCCTAAAAAGTAAGCAACAGCATCTGTTACTTCAAACTGGCACACGAGTTACTTGTTCCTTTTAGGTAGAGTGCAGTACCCTTTTGGACATTTTAAAAAGAGTTTAAGTTTGAAGTGAAGTGACAGTTACCAAGTTAATGTGTTTCATCAACATGGTGATACCTTTGGTTCCTTTGTATGCTCAGGGCACAGAACTCGTAGTCTTTTGCAGTAAATCTTTTGTTGAGCATTGTAATTATCACAGAACAAGTTTCTGAAAAATTGAAACTTAAAATTTCAATCTCAAGTTATGGTTAATCCAATGAAAGCCAAGTTAAAAGAAAAAAACAACAACATCAAGAACAAAAAAACAAGACACATTAAGATTTCTCTCTGAAAGCAGAAACAGCAACTAAATCACATACCCAGCACTTTTGTAAATGGAACCAAATGTTGTTAAGCTTTCATTCTGCCATAGAACAGAACTCAAGTACATTAATTTTTAATGTTATCAGTAACATCATGTTATGGCTACTTACATGTACTTGATCATGCTGAACTCTCCTGTTCTAAACTGTTTACAGACATGAATAAAAGGGGCAAGTTTTAAAAGAAACTGTGGTGCTGCATTGGTGGGGGTATTTTAAGATAATTTGGTATTATAAATTGAGTTGATAATGTAAATCAGCCACCATGAAGAGATCCTTAAGCTGAAGTTTCAGGTGCTAGCCCTTGTCAGTGAGAGTGAATTGCAAAGGGCTAATACTCATTATTAAAAACTGGATCATTGGATAATGCAATTCAAGACTTTTATTGGCTTAGCCATTATGGTATATGAGACAATATTTAACAATTATTCACTGAAGGCGAGGTGAATATCGTTGAATAATCCCCGAGACGAAGTCGAGGGGATTATTCGACAATATTCACCGAACCTGAGGCGAATAATTGTTTTGGTATAATTTCTGAACAACAGAGAAAATTCTAAAATCATCACATTTTAGCAACATTTATTAACATTTTATTTTAACATTNATATTAACCGCGTGGAGCGGTCTATATAGCGTCATATAAGGAACCTCTCGACCAATCAGATTGCTGGAAACTCTTTGCTCAGCTCTGAAATTATACTAAACCATAATCTACAAAATTAATATCATGGTAAGCATACGCGTCAGCTTAGAATTGAAAGGGAGCTAAAAAATTTAAGATTTGGTAAGATTTGTCTAATATCTTGGGGGCGTATTTAATAAAACAATTAATCCACTTGCGCTTGTTGGATATGAGATGATTATAGCCAACTCGGCGCTATGTGCCGAGTTGGCTATCTATCATCGCATATCCAACGCGTGCTTGTGGAATAACTGTTAAATATGGTGGCCAATTTACATTTATCAGTGTGGCTGTGGAACCAAATTATTTTGATCAAAGGCATGTCACAGAGGGGAAGGAGTGTGTTCATGGGAAAAGTGATGGGTATAAGCCATATTACAGCCACTAGGCTTAGACTGTATGCAAAAGTTTGTATGAACCTTCATGTAACATTTCTCCATATGTCTGAGGGCAACTTTAGGAGCTAATGCAAGTCCACAGGTGATGCAGTGGATTTGAAGATCTGTTTCACCTTCTACTTCCATGTCTTGTGCCTGATAAAGAACAAAAAAATTAATTTACTAACAGAATGTTTTGCAAAGCAGTTTTTGGTAAGTACACGACTAATTGTGCTATATTGGAAATACATTGTGTGCACAAGTTTCTTTCACGGCTGAGTGGTCTTTTGAACTATATTGCATCATCTTAGTTCATTTTAAACTCTTTGAATATTAAAAGGATTTGGAACTTCCTCAGTTAGTATTGCATTATTGAAGACAATTTTGCAGACCATGGTATAAAAATCTGCTCTACATTGTTATGATGTCATTGTTATTTACATCATGGTCATGTGACCTGGGACGCTCCCTTGTGCTCGCTCGATCATGGACTATTAAAACTATGTTATTGTTTGATTTACTTGAGCCGTTTGCTGTGTCCCTACAATCATAACATACATGTCTTAAGATATCAGGAGAGATGAATAACAAATCACACTTTTTTAAAAACATAAAAATCTACAACTTTCCCAGCCCTGAATATGACACTATGAAGTCTGACAATAGGATTTTAGTGATCACAGGTATAGATTCACACACTGTAAACGTTATTACCTCCGATTCTTCCACTGTAGCATGTTTTGTCTTCTCGATAAAAGCATCAAGTTCATTACTCAGTCTGTCAAGTTCCATCAACTTCTCCTGAGCTTCCTGAAAGGAACAGACTGTTTTTGTAAAAATGAGGAAGGGCAGAAATTGGTAAAAGCATATAAACTTGGATGTAAACGTAATTTAGTACCCCTTTCTTTTTAGCCAGTTTTTGCAGAAATTCTTCAGCCTTGCAATTGGCCACACATGTAGTTTTTTGCCATTGAGCCATTTTCTGAGGTAAAATCTCTTGAATACGTCTACAGAGAGAAAAATTGAAAAGTTTTTGAACATACAACATTGATATGTACATAAATTTTTAAGATAAGAATGCTCAATGTTTTACTTTTATATAACAAAGTTTCCAGAAATCAAAAGAATAATTTAGAACATGGGATTACCACATCCCTATATTTATAAGCTGTGCTAGAAACTTCTCCTTATTCCAGAACATTCTGTTGAGTTATTTTAGGGATAATTCTCATCATTAGCATCTAGAATGTTCTTACTACTACAAATAGTGTTTTAGAAATAGGTAAGACGTAATCGACTACTATAAATAAGGTTTGAGATCGTAAGATTCAGTAAGGTTTTCAGAAGTTCAAGATACCTCTGTAAGGTTATGTCGCAGACCAATAATTTAAAAGTGTTTTAAGTGGAAAACAGGAATCTTCTCTTAGTTTTGTGACACTTTAATTTATAATTCCCAAGTAATGCAACAATCCTCTCAGGTGAGCTTCAATTTAACCCTATTCCCCCATGGGTGACCAAGACAGAATTTCTCCTTACTATATTCAATACAAAATCAAGCAAACAAGTGATGAGAATAAAGAAAAATATCAATTAGGGGATTATTAGTTGATCCAATACCAAATTCTCCAAACTAACATTA